AGGCCCAGGTAACAAAAATAGGTCATGCATACACCGCCAATAAATCAGGTTAGATATATATGAACAAGCCGTGAAAACTGACACCTGGTAAAAACAGACAAAACATCGATATTAATAATTCAATCAATGTTATTATTTCAGGATCATCTGGAATCAAACCATCATTAACGCATTTACACTTAGCAATATCCCTTTAAGTAATAGCACAGGGATTTGGCACCAATTCCCGATCCACTGTTCACGTGTATGTGATACAGTGACAAGGTGCCTGGGAGAAGGAAAAACACATTTTTTTCTCAATTCTGTTTTTTGTTATTTTAGGGTCCACAGATCTTAGTGACACGTACATTACTTGGTGTTAGGCGGATATTTATAATCTTTCATACTGCCATCAGCTTAACCTAACGATATCTTCTCCATCCGTATTGATAGTTGCTCACTGATGTATCCGTATCCTAATTTAGAGGAAATACATACGGATTTCCTAGGAAGTGCTTGATAGACCGTTCCCGAATTTAGATATACACATGTATGTATTGCCTTTCAACAGAGAAACAGTATAACTCATCAAAAAATGTTTACAGAGATAGGCTACCTCGTTCCCTAGCTGTGACAGTCACGTTTTGTTACTGATCAGCTGAAACAAATGGTAAATGCCTTTACGAGAAGTTTGTGTTGATGTTTAATAGATTATTATCAATATGTTGGTTTTTTTCATGTAAAATTTTATGAAATTTGAAAATTAGGTTTGTAATCTAAATTCCTCATCGTTTAGGGGTAGACTGATGTTGTAAATGGAAGAGTGGAATGTCGATACGGAGTCATCGTTGATTCTGCATTGTTAACACGAAGACTGTTTTCATTACTTGTAGATAATTGAAAAACAAAAAACATGAAAACATTTTCAGAACTAAACGTGTTTTGAATTTAAGTTTTGAAATCTTTCCAATTGCATACGAATAATGGAACAAAATTATTTTATTTTTTTAGCAACGTTATTATCACAAACATACAAAATTCCAAAAACAGAACAATAAGTAATGAAATATAAGTAAAGTAAAGTTAACATAGTATTGGTAGTTACACGGGGAAGTTACCATAGAATTGGTAGTTACACGGGAAAGTTACCATAGAATTGGTAGTTATACGGGAAAGTTACCATAGAATTGGTAGTTATACGAGAAAGTTACCATAAAATTGGTAGTTACACGGGAAAGTTAACATAGAATTGGTAGTAACACGGGAAAGTTAACATAGAATTGGTAGTTACACGAGAAAGCTACCATAGAATTGGTAGTTATACGAGAAAGCTACCATAAAATTGGTAGTTATACGAGAAAGCTACCATAGAATTGGTGGTTATACGAGAAAGCTACCATAGAATTGGTAGTTACACGGGAAAGTTAACATAGAATTGGTAGTTACACGGGAAAGTTAACATAGAATTGGTAGTTACACGGGAAAGTTAACATAGAATTGGTAGTTACACGGGAAAGTTAACATAGAATTGGTAGTTACACGGGAAAGTTAACATAGAATTGGTAGTTACACGGGAAAGTTAACATAGAATTGGTAGTTACACGGGAAAGTTAACATAGAATTGGTAGTTACACGGGAAAGTTACCATAGAATTGGTAGTTATACGGGAAAGTTACCATAAAATTGGTAGTTACACGGGAAAGTTAACATATAATTGGTAGTTACACGAGAAAGTTAACATAGAATTGGTAGTTATACGAGAAAGTTACCATAAAATTGGTAGTTACACGAGAAAGTTACCATAGAATTGGTAGTTACACGGGAAAGTTAACATAGAATTGGTAGTTACACGGGAAAGTTAACATAGAATTGGTAGTTATACGGGAAAGTTAACATATAATTGGTAGTTACACGAGAAAGTTATCATAGAATTGGTAGTTACATGGGAAAGTTACCATAGAATTGGTAGTTACACGGGAAAGTTAACATAGAATTGGTAGTTATACGAGAAAGTTACCATAAAATTGGTAGTTACACGGGAAGTTAACATAGAATTGGTAGTAACACGGGAAAGTTAACATAGAATTGGTAGTTACATGAGAAAGTTACCATAAAATTTGTAGTTACACGAGAAAGTTAACATAGAATTGGTAGTTACACGGGAAAGTTAACATAGAATTGGTAGTTACACGGGAAAGTTAACATAGAATTGGTAGTTACACGGGAAAGTTACCATAGAATTGGTAGTTACATGGGAAAGTTAACATAGAATTGGTAGTGACACGGGAAAGTTAACATAGAATTGGTAGTTACACGGGAAAGTTAAAATAGAATTGGTAGTTACACGGGAAAGTTAACATAGAATTGGTAGTGACACGGGAAAGTTAACATATAATTGGTAGTGACACGGGAAAGTTAACATAGAATTGGTAGTTACACGAGAAAGTTACCATAGAATTGGTAGTTATACGGGAAAGTTAACATATAATTGGTAGTTACACGAGAAAGTTATCATAGAATTGGTAGTTATACGGGAAAGTTAACATAGAATTGGTAGTAACACGGGAAAGTTAACATAGAATTGGTAGTTACACGGGAAAGTTAACATAGAATTGGTAGTTACATGGGAAAGTTACCATAGAATTAGTAGTTACACGGGAAAGTTAACATAGAATTGGTAGTTACACGGGAAAGTTAACATAGAATTGGTAGTTATACGAGAAAGCTACCATAGAATTGGTAGTTATACGAGAAAGTTACCATAAAATTTGTAGTTACACGAGAAAGTTAACATAGAATTGGTAGTTACACGGGAAAGTTAACATAGAATTGGTAGTTACACGGGAAAGTTAACATAGAATTGGTAGTTACACGGGAAAGTTAACATAGAATTGGTAGTTACACGGGAAAGTTACCATAAAATTGGTAGTTATACGAGAAAGCTACCATAGAATTGGTAGTTATACGAGAAAGCTACCATAGAATTGGTAGTTACACGGGAAAGTTAACATAGAATTGGTAGTTACACGGGAAAGTTAACATAGAATTGGTAGTTACACGGGAAAGTTAACATAGAATTGGTAGTTACACGGGAAAGTTAACATAGAATTGGTAGTTACACGGGAAAGTCAACATAGAATTGGTAGTTACACGGGAAAGTTAACATAGAATTGGTAGTTACACGGGAAAGTTAACATAGAATTGGTAGTTACACGGGAAAGTTAACATAGAATTGGTAGTTACACGGGAAAGTTACCATAGAATTGGTAGTTATACGGGAAAGTTACCATAAAATTGGTAGTTACACGGGAAAGTTAACATATAATTGGTAGTTACACGAGAAAGTTAACATAGAATTGGTAGTTACACGGGAAAGTTAACATAGAATTGGTAGTTACACGGGAAAGTTAACATAGAATTGGTAGTTATACGAGAAAGTTACCATAAAATTGGTAGTTACACGAGAAAGTTACCATAGAATTGGTAGTTATACGGGAAAGTTAACATATAATTGGTAGTTACACGAGAAAGTTATCATAGAATTGGTAGTTACATGGGAAAGTTACCATAGAATTGGTAGTTACACGGGAAAGTTAACATAGAATTGGTAGTTATACGAGAAAGTTACCATAAAATTGGTAGTTACACGGGAAGTTAACATAGAATTGGTAGTTACACGGGAAAGTTACCATAAAATTTGTAGTTACACGAGAAAGTAAATATAGAATTGGTAGTTATGCAAAAGGTTACCATAGAATTGGTAGTGACACGGGAAAGTTAACATAGAACTGGTAGTGACACGAGAAAGTTATCATAGAATTGGTAGTTACACGAGAAAGTTACCATAAAATTGGTAGTTACACGGGAAAGTTAACATAGAATTGGTAGTTACACGGGAAAGGTACCATATAATTGGTAGTTATGCAAAAAGTTACCATATAATTGGTAGTCATACGAGAAAGTAAATATAGAATTGGTAGTTATGCAAAAGGTTACCATAGAATTGGTAGTTACACGGGAAAGTTAACATAGAATTGGTAGTGACACGAGAAAGTTATCATAGAATTGGTAGTTACACGAGAAAGTTACCATAAAATTGGTAGATGCACATGTGAAAGCAGTAATATTTATCCCTTTAACTTTAAGTTGACTTCGAAACAATAGGGTAACACCTTTTTGAGAATTGTATGTATATTAATGCATGTATTGCCGTATTTCCAAGACTGCCATTAATTCAGACTAGAAGTCAGACTGTATAACGTAAATACTTCCCCACCCCACTTCAGTTACTTATCAAGTATTTGTTTCAAGGTGATGCTCTAGTTATGCATGTGATTCGTTGTATACGACAACATTACTAGCCTCCTGATGTTGCATGAATACATAAAATGTGATATTTCAAAGAATGATTACCGAGTTACAATCTAGCTATTTATATTCTCAGCGTGTCTACCACGGTCTGGACGAAAAACTGAACAAAAAGTGACAAATACCGGAACTTAATAAGAATACTTGTTCATGTTTTTTCATTTTGCCTTAAATCTTAGCGGTAAACGTTTAACGAATTGAAATATTAAGATCAGATTGGAACGTCTTTATGTTCTTCACGGCAGGATTATGAGAAAAAGAAACGTATCAACGACCTATTTTTTTCAGATGTTTGCATTCAACATAAATATTTACAGAATATCAGTATAAACACAAGAACAGACATCCCTTCTAGATCAAATGATGTTTGATGTCAAATCTATTATAGAGTGTTTTATTCACAAGACTATGTCATGTTAACAGCGCAAATATGTAGAATCTAACACCCAGGGATATTCTCTGCTGATAAACTATCACAGGAAATTATCCAAGAAATGAAAACAGTGGAAATACATCTGTATGATCAATTGTCAAGTTGATGGATGTTGATCGTTATTTTCGTGATTCTGATCGCTGTAATCCGTCACCTAACGTTAACAAATATAGACGGGTCCATAGAAATGTAATGGTAAGCGTAAGCTCTGCTATCGTAGTTATACAGTGGGCATTGGAACACTGAAGACTTCATTGTCATGCCCAGCATTGTGGACTGAAAAATTAGATTGCATAATAGGGTTCTGCAATCCGTTATTGTTGCCTTGTTGTAAACTATAGGACTGCATTGGCAGTGGTTGTTCTTCTGATGTCCTGACACCCATATCAAGGAAAACATCCCTCGACCAACCAAAGATCTGAAAGTAAATCGTATACTGATATAGGGTTATTCTAATGGTCACACACTGCGTCCTATTTTTAGATGTATTCAGTGTTCTGTGCGAGGTAGTTATACCTTTATCGTTTTCATCTTACGTATATTTCAAATTCCAGATTTTCAATGACCAGTCGTTATTGTACCCGAGTTAGATATATCATAGCTGTCCTTTGTTTGTAGAGTTTCGAGAACCAGTTGTTTTAGAAATTTTGCCACACGAAATGCTAAGCTATCGTGTCATGATTCTAATATTTCAGTGTGACGGCACTATAAAAGCCTCAACAGGCGACTCATCATATTCTTCTTCTATTTTGTAGTTATCTGGTGCTGTAAAAACCCGTAGAATCAAAATGAGATAATCGCATTAGTGGTTTTGATCTACAGAATAATTATCTTTGAAATGTTACCATTATTAGGCAAATGGCTAGACCGATAACAGCGCCACCTATGACGTCTGTAGGATGATGTTTGTTGTCCTGAACACGGGTCAAACATATGTAGATTCCAGCACCTACTAGAAAGGTCTGAACGGATGGTCCTATTATCCGCATGTACAGTCGCCATTGCAATTGTTGTCGGAAACGGATATCCAAGTAAATCTATGGATAAAGATTTTCTCCTGTAGATCAGAGTAATCAATTTTATAGTTATAGATATTATCTAATACTATTTACCAACTGAATATTGCAACCATTGAAAATAATAATAAAGAAGTCTTGTAGTACAGAAATTTGCAAATGAATCCGTTATCACTTGCCTCAAAATAAATGTCGTTATGTTTTTTGCATCAATATATATTCAAGTTTGCTTCATGTATTTTTTATGAAAATTTCTTTTCTTATGACTTTTAAAAAAGTAAACCAAATACACAAAGTTATCAATCATAGTTTAGGTGAACAACTTCATTGTGCGCAGTCTGACTTTTAGAAAACATCTGATATGAGAGATGAAAACCCTTGATTCAGTAAGTAAACATTATAGGTACCAATTTATTGTTGTTGTACTGTGAATGTTGTTTTACACATTTTTATTAGTTTTACCAAATGTTTGATTCAAAGGGGAAGCTTTCTTCGCTTAAGTCAGGAACTATAGAATAAAATAGACAAAATAAAACGAAAACAATTGTAAAACAAACTTCTACATTCTATGAAATTGGGGTAAAGAGATTTACCCGGAGACTGCCGAAAAAATGTAACGATATAAAGAAAACATAGATATAGGAATATAGATGTCAGTATATATATATATATATAGGTATAGATATAGGAATATAGATGTCAGTATATATAGATATATATATAGGTATAGATATAGGAATATAGATGTAAGTATATATATATATTATAGGATAAAGATGTCAATATACATAGATATAGGAATATAGATGTCAGTATATATAGATAAAGGAATATAGATGTCAATATATATATATATATATATATATATATATAGGTATAGATATAGGAATATAGATGTCAATATATATATCTGTTATAGGATATAGATGTCAGTATACATAGATATAGGAACATAGATGTCAGTATATATAGATAAAGGAATATAGATGTCAATATATATATATATATATATATATATAGGTATAAATATAGGAATATAGATGTCAGTATATATATATTATAGGATATGGATGTCAGTATACATAGATATAGGAATATAGGTGTCAGTATATATATATTATAGGATATGGATGTCAGTATATACATAGATATAGGAATATAGGTGTCAGTATATATATACACAGATATAGAAATATAGATGTTTGTATATACACATAGATACAGGAATATAGATGTCTGTATATACACATAGATACAGGAATATAGATGTCTGTATATACACATAGATACAGGAATATAGATGTCTGTATATATATAGATATAGGAATATAGATGTCTGTATATACACATAGATATAGGAATATAGATGTCTGTATATATATATTATAGGATATAGATGTCAGTATACATAGATATAGGAACATAGATGTCAGTATATATAGATAAAGGAATATAGATGTCAATATATATATATATATGTTATAGGATATAGATGTCAGTATACATAGATATAGGAATATAGATGTCAGTATATATATATATGTTATAGGATATAGATGTCAGTATACATAGATATAGGATATAGATGTCAGTATACATAGATATAGGAATATAGATGTCATGTCAGTATATATATATATGTTATAGGATATAGATGTCAGTACACATAGATATAGGAATATAGATGTCAGTATATATAGATAAAGGAATATAGATGTCAATATATATACATAGATACAGGAATATAGATGTCAGGATATATATATATATAAATAATAGATGTCAGGATATATATATAGATATAGGAATATATATGTCTGTATACATAGATATAGGAATATAGATGTCAGTATACATAGATATAGGAATATAGATGTCAGTATACATAGATATGGGAATATAAATGTCAATATATATACATAGATACAGGAATATAGATGTCAGTATATATATATATAAATAATAGATGTCAGGATATATATATAGATATAGGAATATATATGTCTGTATACATAGATATATGAATATAGATGCCAGTATGTATATACACAGATACAGGAATATAGATGTTTGTATATACACATAGATACAGGAATATAGATGTCTGTATATACACATAGATACAGGAATATAGATGTCTGTATATACACATAGATACAGGAATATAGATGTCTGTATATACACATAGATACAGGAATATAGATGTCTGTATATACACATAGATACAGGAATATAGATGTCTGTATATACACATAGATACAGGAATATAGATGTCTGTATATATACATTATAGGATTATTTGTTGTTGCGCTTACCGCTACGAACGTGAATGCATATACAGCACTTGATGAATGTCCTGATGGAAATGATTGTCTGAAGAAAGACAAAAAATGAAATACTTGCATTTTTCTCAAGTGATAGGTAAACTTATTAAAGAATTTTGAATATCTTTTCAAGCTGGTTTATTTTCTTATTTGTATATATATCCTGATATTGTACAAACCCACTGTCGATATTTACCTACTGAAACAGTTATACGACATACTCTTCATTATTTCCTGTGTTACTTACTTGACGTCATCCACCTCTTTGGTGTCGTTATTTAGACAAACGAAGTCTGTGATGTAACCTCCTCCGACGTCACATTCGGTCGCATTGTATTCCGGGATACACCAAGCAAAGAAATTTGGCCTTAGTCGTCCAGCCCAGAGTTTCATTACGGAAACAACAGATTGTGTTAAAGCAATACCCAACATATATAGTAGAATCAAAGAGTAAAGAGATTTCAGTGCAACTTTCATCACATCTTTACAAGAGATATTTCCATAACGCATGCGTGTAAAGGCGTAGAGTGGTTCAACAAAGAAAGTCTGTAAAACAGAAAAATACAAATTAATGAAATTCAAACCAGTATACATATATATTTATATATATTTCTTGTTTTAATTGATAAAATATTTCGAAAAGGAGAAGTTAGATTCATTGTCTCCATTCAAGGTCTAGTTCTACAGATTTAGATCGGACAAAAGCATTGACACAAAAACCTGGATTCCGTTTTTTTTTCTTACAAGCTTATGATAGCATCACAACGACCACAAAACAACTTATAAACCCAACTTTGTGTTGATTCCCATTGGTTTTTCTGCGTGTCAGTTCGTTTTTCTGTTTTCTGTATTTGAGTAACAAGCCATAACTAACCAAATCTGATCACGTGATTCACGTGAAAACTTACACCCTTCCATTGACAATAATACATCAACCACTATCTCAATGAGACGATTCGCGGTTTTTAGGTAAAGATCAAACAAATTGTAACACTATTGTATGTTTGCTTTTAATCGCAACAAGTAACACCCGTTGGTTCGTAATGTTTATACATCAAATAACTCACACAGATTCTAATGGAAAGTTGTTACGTGTGAACGTTTTCAAAATTGAAAAATGATTTGTTTTGTATTCATCAATACGCATAATGAGTGTAAAAATAAAGGAACAATGAGCGAAACGCTAGACGGATGTTTAAGTAACGTTGAAATGGTAAGAAATAAGCCTACCCATCGAATTGTCTTTAGTAAAATACCCGGAAATTAGTATGTAAACAATATCGGTGGTCGTAATACAATGGTTCCAGTCAGCATTGTTCTGGCTAAACACATCAGTCTAATGACCTACATCGGGTATAAGATCATATTCCATTATGCAATTAGTGAACATAAAGCTGTATTTACTATTTTTATAAATAAGTAATTAGAATTTGTGTACCTACCACAAACGGAAATATAACAATAGCAATGACTGCCGCCAGTGAACTACTGATGGTGTCGTCCTTGTACGGATATTTAAGGCTTTGGTCATCACAGAAAAATCCTCTCTCAAACGGTTTCATGCAAATAGTGTTAGATACTAACAACAGACTAACGATGAAAACTGTAAACAAAAGGAAATTTAAGTTGATATTTTCTTTTTGAGTATCGTAAAGTTGATATACCAATAATGTTCTATTATCAGATGCGATGTACACGTTTAAGACATTAACAATAGCTGTTTTAAAGTACCTCAGAATCACTTGGTATATGGGTGGCCTTGATTATACATAATCGCTTTATAGCCAAGCATTGGACTGTTTTCAGTTAATTGAGTTTGCCTTTGTCCGATTGTGAATGTCAACTGAAAGCAGTTCAATGATTATATATTTACTTATTTTGTCTCTTATTCGACATCTCTCTCTCTCTCTCTCTCTCTCTCTCTCTCTCTCTAATCTATTTGTTAGTTTTCCTTTTATACTAAAACAACTAATTGTTAGTTTATCGCCGTAATAAAAACATTATGTGTTCTTACCCTCTTTACACTTTTACATAAGATTCATTACCTTCACATAACTTCTGTACACTTCTTGTCATACAATGTTATATGTAGGATATTTCAAAATGAGACCAGCAAGACGACCGTGCAATTTCTCCATAATTTACATTTACCTTATTCACTCGCTTAGAATAATAAAAGTGTCAAATTGATATTGAAAGCATTTAGGAGTATGAAACGTTTGGAATAAATAGAAAAGTAACATCATATATTTAGAATGTCTTTAAAAAGGTGGTGTTATAAAACATTACAATAGAAGAATTGATTATCTAACAGAACTTTATTTGTATCACAAATCTTAACAAATATTGTTGAAATAAAAAATTAAATTAGAAAAATAAATGAATTACGTTTCTATTATACAGGGTTACTATACCTAGGCAATTTACTTGTGGAGTCATATCATTGGACACATTTTGAATCTAACAATGCTGATACAATCTAAATTGGGACAGGATCCCGGCGATAACATCTACCCGGTGTTTACTCAACTGTTTTACCTTCCCCATTATTACCCCAACAAAACTACATGTAGGTCATGACCTTGTCTGGTTTACATAAAGACCAGACTTATATAGTCCATTTCTATACACCGTAACTTGCGCAATAAACGACTATTGAAGTTTAAGTCAAGGACATGAACGTCTGTTTATAAATGTGACTTACTTCAACAGAAACTATATGTTGTAATAATTATGGTAAGGACTATTTTTGTGAAATTATTGAACATCGCGAGCAGTGATTTGTGTTGGTTTTCATGATTAAGTATACGAATTCTTGTATACATAGAGTGGAAGGTATTGGGGTACGACAAGTATATAAGTCGTTCACTAAATTATGTTTTTAACGGGTTTACTAACTTGAATTATATTATAGGTGAATGATCCATTATTGATTGAATCATTGAAATGATATTCTTTTGTGGCATCACGCTTGGTCAACTTTTTTTTAACTGAAAAAATACGAAAATTCTTCCTTCATGTTTTCAGTTATGTGAATAGATTTTAAAACATTTTTTTCAAATCATATCATTTAAGTATAAAATGCAGAATATGTCATTGTCTACCAACAACTGCAAACATACCATGTACAGAACCTACCATAAATAGTATACCTATACCATTTCAATATTGACAATTAGAGTATCATTCCTTACCTATAAAAAACGACACGACGTCCACGGTGAGTGCCAAAGGGTTTTTGAATATTGATGATTCAGTCCGTCCCTCAGAATTACGTCCCAAGTTAATATTTGTATTCGGCATTGTAAGTTTATAAGAATCCGTTCTGTATCGTGGTAGTTTTCCAGCTAAGTATTCACTTGTCGAGAGTAATATAACGTTTAGTTACGGTAATATAGATATGTTTTCCTAATTACATAGTGCACGTTCTCAGTGTCTCAGGCATATTCTACTTCTATTTTATACAACAGTTTAGGGGCACTGTTTAAATGTTAAATACCCGGATAACGGTAAACAAGCAGACAGGTCATTGTGTGAGCCCACCCTTATATCTACATACACCAATCGATTTTAACCTGTGAAAATCTTATGAGTACATTTTCTATAAATATACCAAAGGTATACCCTTATATGGTCATGAACTGTTGCGATTCATGAAAATTTACGACGATATGACGTAATGTCAGGTATAGTATAACGTTTAAATCTCCTCGGCTTTATACGGGTAAACGTGTATTATATCTACACAGGTATATTTAGCGCAGTTAGCATGTGAGATCTACATTACCGGGTAGATTACTTTGTTTACAAACAATACCTTGGCTAAAAGGAGACTGAAATTGATGTCCAATTAGGTCTCAATTTTTTTATATAGTCTTATGTTAATCCATAGCTAGCACAGAAAAATAAACCTATATTCATTATATTAGTGATATAGTTCTGTAATGTGATGATAACCGATATCGGTGGATACGGAATTTTTATGAGCTGTCAGTACAATTTCGCACTACAAAGAAACTGGTAATCAAAATAACAATGCATTCTGGTAATAAACAGAAAGAAAATGTTTATTGTAAACCGCGTTTTTCACAGAGTATCCGGTAATACGGACAATTGTATATTCATGTGATCATATGATAGAGCCTCTACCGAATCAGTAACTAAGCACAATGTATTGAGGTTGATAAACCACTTTCAATATTTTTAAAAAATGATAAGACAACAAGGCCTTACTTCAAAGTCAAATGCGATGAAACTAAATCGGAATATCAGCAAATGAAAGATTCCCAGAGATTCCCGAAAAAGTACCAGGAGTATTAAATCAGATGTTCCGGAAGAGGAACGGTCTTATGCTTCTTAGTCACCTAAAGTAGCAATTGTCGCGTTCTCAAATGGGGGACAAGGCATATAACAACGGAACGAAACAGGCAAATTACAAACACCTCCAACCTCGTGTTGCAAAAGGAAACAAATCTAGCGAGATCATTATGACGACAGAAAACCTCCCAGTAAACTGGAATTCTGAGTATAGCATAGTTTGTGTGCATGCTAACATAGAAGTACGCGTGTGTAAATAAGGACAGACATTTCTTTATCTAGGATAGGTATATATTGACAATGTCGACGTAAGTAGCCACCAGGCTGAAAGCAAACATTGAAAAGACGTTGATGGAGGATGGTTGTATAAGACCAGCCAAGCAAGTATATACAATATGAGAAATATTCTCTGAATGAGATTTCTGAGTACCGAATATTGATTCCAAATAAAATTTTAAAAAAAAACTATATACTAACATTCTAATTTTTCTAATTTTATAGAAAATTAAAGTTCAGCCGTACTCAATCATGGCGCAAAGTGATGGTTTTGGAGACAGAAATTTAGTCCTCGTAATTGATGGTCTTAACTACTCTTTAAATTCTAATTCATTGTATTGTACTGAACTCGGTATTTTCGTAAACAGTGATCTCAGTAAAAAATCCAAATTTAAGAATTTAACAGAAAGTTCAAATCTGATTTAGAATGCTCCAAAAGTGACCAAATTTTAAAAGTTAATATTCTTATGATTGAAACCGGCAGACCAACCAACTAAAGAAGACTTCAAGTGTACCCGAAGAGATTTTTTCATGACAAAAATAAACCATCAATATGGTATAAAAGTATATCTAGTTGATGATACATAGACCAAACCCTATAATATTTGTACATAGACTAAACCTTATAATATTTATTCAGACCAAACCTTATAATATTTATACAGACCAAACCCTATATCTATACATAGACCAAACCCTATAATATTTATACATAGACCAAACCCTATAATATTTATACATAGACCAAACCCTATTATATTTATACATAGACCAAACCCTATACTGTTTATACATAGACCAGAGCTTATAATATTTATACATAGACCAAACCCTATAATATTTATACATAGACCAAACCCTATAATATTTATACATAGACCAAACTCTATAATATTTATACATAGACCAGAGCTTATAATATTTATATATAGACCAAACCCTATACTGTTTATACATCGACCAGAGCTTATAATATTTATACATAGACCAAACCCTATACTGTTTATACATCGACCAGAGCTTATAATATTTATACATAGACCAAACCCTATACTGTTTATACATAGACCAGAGCTTATAATATTTATACATAGACCAAACCCTATACTGTTTATACATAGACCAAACCCTATAATATTTATACATCACCAAACCCTATACTGTTTATACATAGACCAAACCCTATAATATTTATACATAGACCAAACCCTATAATATTTATACATAGACCAGAGCTTATAATATTTATACATAGACCAAACCCTATAATATTTATACATAGACCAAACCCTATAGTATTTATACATAGACCAAACCCTATAATATTTATACATCTACCAGACCCTTTAGTATTTATACATAGACCAAACCCTATACTGTTTATACATAGACCAGAGCTTATGATATTTATACATAGACCAGACCCTATAATATATATACATAGACCAAACCCTATAGTATTTATACATAGACCAAACCCTATAATATTTATACATCTACCAGACCCTTTAGTATTTATAGATAGACCAAACCCTATACTGTTTATACATAGACCAGAGCTTATAATATTTATACATCGACCAGACCCTATAATATTTATACATAGACCAAACCCTATAATATTTATACATAGAACAAACCCTATAATATATATGCATAGACCAAACCCTATAATATTGATATCTAGGACCATGTCAATTCCATTATATCTAGATCCTTTGTAGAAGTGTGAAAAACAGCTTGAGATTTTAGTAATATGGTTATTTAAGTGATCCGCATCCTAAAATACACATTGAATAATCTGTATAACCAGTTCCATCATTCTGGGTACCTTTGTGTTATCCTACAATGTATATTCATCAGACCGTGTGGATTAATATATGTTGTTTGAGGTTAGAAATCCTTTTTATTTCCAGTCTATTAATTCAATATCTAGTAATATTTTATGTATTTCTTTTTAAAACTTAAGTAAATTTTAAGTTGAGAGACGCAGGGTTTGTAAAGAAAGAAAGTGCACTTAAAATTAAATGATCACATCCGGAGTACGTGAATATCTCTTTTCGAAATCAGCTAAGATATTCATGATATGATTATAATATATATATTTTTTGTGTGTATTGTTCTGGTTGAAACACACCTACTTTAAATGGACATTGCAATACAAGAGTGTGAATACTGTGTTTATGTAGCCTTTGTAATATATATAACATGTTCTTCGTATTTTTTAATTTCCCTTTAAATAGTATAACCTGCATTACGAATTATGTATTTAAATGAATTATGTGTTCGTGTGGAATGATACTTGTCATGTACCTGGTGAACTTTCATTCAGTGTACCTTTATCAAAATAAACAAATAGTATGTTGTGGATCGTGAGACGGAACTGATTCATACAATATAAAAGATTCAAATTCTTAAATTACTTCCTCTGATATTGTCGTTATCATGTTCAAACACACGACCGGCTACATCCTATCAATGACATTTGTCAGAGTACCCGGTTGTCACATGACCTTATTAAATATCTATACATCGTTTATCACGACAAATCTTCTGTAGGAGTGTGTATAAAACAATAGTCCCACAGGGCCTGCATCTCTCAACTGGTTTAGTTCACTGAAATTATTTCAAAGATTTATACTTAATTTTCCCTATTTCGCCCCGTCCCAGGGGTTGAAGGCCCACCGTTTATTCAAAATTGATTCTCCTTCATCAAAGGATGCTTCAGGCCAAATAGGGACAGAATCAAGGCGTTATTACCGATGGATTTTAAACAACTTACTGTGGAACTTGCCCATTTCTTCCCAGGGAGTCCCGAATCCAAACAATTATGCAAGTGGATTTGTCTTCACCAAAAGATGCTTCAAACTAATTTGGTAAAGAATCTGACAATTCTACAGAAGTATTTTAAAGAATTAGCTCTAAAGCTAATAGGCTTGCCCTGTAGCTCAGGCAGTCGGTCTGGGTAAGGTGTCTTGCTACCGTGTCCTTGTTATATAATTCCGTTGTGATGACACAGTAACCCTTTTCATCTGTCTACAATGTTTTCCTATGATTATGGCTGTTGCAGAACACCTATCATACAAATGTCATATGAATAAATTTGATAGAGTTCACCCTTTTATTGTTACATCCTCCTTTTAACTTACATTATGTATACCAACATTACCGAGAACTTCCTGTGCATTAATTAACCATATCCCTCGGAACTTACATTATGTATACCAACATTACCAAGACCTTCCTGTACATTAATAAACCATATCTCTCGGAACTTACATTATGTATACCAACAGTCCCGACACCTTTCTGTACATCAATAAACCATATCTCTCTAAACTTACATTATGTATACCAACAGTCCCGAGACCTTCCTGTACATCAATGAATCACATCTCTCTAAACTTACATTATGTATACCAACATTACCGAGACCTTCCTGTACATTAATAAACCATATCTCTCGGAACTTACATTATGTATACCAACAGTCCCGAGACCTTCCTGTACATCAATGAATCACATCTCTCTACACTTACATTATGTATACCAACAGTTCCGAGACCTTTCTGTACATCAATAAACCATATCTCTCTAAACTTACATTATGTATACCAACAGTCCCGAGACCTTCCTGTACATCAATAAACCATATCTCTCTAAACTTATATTATGTATACCAACAGTCCCGACACCTTCCTGTACATCAA